TTGTAAAGGCTTCAAACCAAACACCCTATAATAACAACCTTCTTCCCAAAGTAATACAATCCCCAAAGTGCAAATGTCTCCCTTACCGTAACATTAGTCATTTGTCTAAGACGAACTATTCATATTTTATCTTTGTCTTGCAGAATACATATTGCATATACCCTTGCAAACTTCACTTAAGTCTGTTTTGTAACCTGCTTCAATTATTTTTGAGCGCCATCAATAATCAATAACTATTAGACGTCGAACTTAATTTATATAATTGGTTTGAATCGTTTTTCCTATGAACATAGTCAAGCTCATGTTAAACCCATGAATGTAGGGTACATAATGATATTGGTTCTATCTGCGAGTTACCATTGAAACTTGAATTCAACTCATTTGACTTTATGTTATATCTCAAAATTCAATATGTATGGTTGGACTAGCCATACCGATTGTAATCTCCGTCATTGTAATCCTTTACACATGGGACTACAGTCCCTATTCCAATAAGTGACGTGGAGATCTCCAGTTTGACTTTTTTTCCTAACTTCCTTCCCATTTGTTAAAAAAAATTTTAAAAAAAATCCTCTGCATATTTTAATACCAAACCAGGGACCATGAATTCATTGAGCACAACATGCTTACCTCATCAATTTGGCCGATATAAGTAAAGTGGGCTCGACTGTAGGGACATAAGAGGGATATATTCCTCCACGTATTTGTTTAAGAATATTATTTTTTCAGTATCACACAGTTATTTATAAGGGATTCTATTGTACCTACGTTGGAATTAAAGTTAAAGTCTCATCAACGTGATCTGGACGTTAAAAAATAAGTTTAGTCCTAACGAATTGTCTTGTAGTTATAGAGATTTGAACCCATGTATTAAACAAGAATATATAAATTTTTATACACTAGATGAACAGTTCATTGGTAAGAGAGAGTCAGAGAAAGAGAGAGAGAGAGTGTGTCAATAAAGACAAGTCACCGGTGATTAGAAGTGTCGGGTTGGATTATTTCGTATTAAGTTGATTTCGAATTTGTGTTGAAAATCCTAAAAAACGAACTTGATCTGTTTAATAATTGTGTCAAGATGTGTAAACATTAATTTAACCTGACTATTAAAAAAGTTTTTTGAACCCGACCTGTTTAACAAGTTTAATAAATATGTCGTTTTAGAGTTAACACACATACTATGACATGTTTAACCTGTTTAATACAAATAATTTGTTTACACACATGTTAATTACTATTAAATACATCATTCACTCATTCATATAAAATTTCAACTAATTTTTTCACCAATAACATATCACTTTTTATCAATGAAATTAACTAAAATGTATTCAAGTTTCAACCCAAAAATTAAATTAATAACTATATTATTATAATGTCAATTATCATGATAGAAGTAATAATTAATAAATAATAATGTTAAGATCACATCAATTATACATAATAAACAAATTATACTGCTATAAATGGGTTAAACTGATTTACAATGGATTAGATCTAATTTGTGTCCGAATCATGCCAATTTATTTAAAATATACAGGTTAATCAGGTCAAAATTAAGTTAACTTGATTTTGACATGAATCTAATATGATTTTTATCATGTTTAAGCATGTTGACCCTTTTTTGTCTATTGATCTGTTTAATTTCGTATTTAACTTATTTATTTCATGTTCAATTCGTGTAGTATTAATATTTCGTATCGAAAATTGACACCCCCCTGTGATGCATGGCAAGAAGCAAAGAGGCAGGGGGGTTCAATAAAGACAAGACACCCCCACCTGTGATGCATGGCAAGAAGCAAAGAGGCAGGGGGGTTCAATAAAAGCAAGCCACCTGTCAAGCATGGCAAATAAAACAGGGGTAAAGAGCAGGGACCCAATCAAGGGTTGGGATACGAAGAATATTCTTCTTATCTTTGTCAAAATTCTTGGTAGACGTGGACGATTCAATCACGCCACGCGTGGGGGTAAATAGGATCTTTTTAACTAAATGACCATATCTAAACACGTGCTAATTATTTAATTATTTAATAGTAATAAATTGAAAAATAACAAATTACATTGAAGTCCCACATATTTGATTCATAATTACAATGAATAGCTAATAGTACTTGTGAATTATACTATTATACACCTTTCCGATTTGGATTTGAATTTGTACTTCGTGATATATCTTGTCGTTAATTAGCGATTAGTAAAGTTGTACCCAGTTTATAAAACACAATAGATAAATAAAGTTAAGTCCTTTTTTATACATTACAAATACTAAAAGTCATCCATAACCTAGTTGATTGTAAACTTATCATAGAGCGAAATCCCTTTAAATATATATTTTTTTTAAATTTTTTCTTGACAAATTATTTACCATACATTCAAGTGAAATTCATTGTATATAAGTGAGTCATTCATTCATTCATTAATGGTGGATAATCCGTCAAGAAGTAAATTGAGGAGAAAAATACCCTACCCCACCCCTTCCTTCCCTGCCCTTCCCCTTACCAATTGTAAAACCTCCACCCCAAAATCCATTCCCATCCACCCCTCAAAACCATCTTCTCCTCCAAAGACACTACCATCTTTAAAACCCACATTTCATCGTTTCAATCATTCCTTCCAAAACACTTCCATTCCTATTAAAACCTATTTGTTTTTGTAGAGTACTTCACATTCCATAGATTTTTTACCTTTACCTATAATCATCATAACTTTTTTATATTTTGTCCCCCTAAAACTCACCTCCATTACGGCCAGTCTCTAACTTGAAACTCGTAACAATCCCACCTCCCACTTTATCTCCCTCATACCTGTCAACCCAACCCAAATATCCAATTCCCTTATCTCGCTTGCTTAACCTCCCTCATCACCATTATATCAACTTTAATTATCATAGCAAATGTATAAATATCTTTAGATAAAAACAACAAGAGAGAGGAAGATTAAAAGGGGTTTTGTCACATGGTGGTTTCTAGGGATGGTGGGTGGGGTTATGTTAACCTAGGGTCTTGAGTGTCTATCTTTTTATTCTGACAAAAAACTTTAGAGCAACGGGAATATATGATGACAAGGACAAATTTGTATTCCTCTTTAAGTTACTGACAAAATAATAATTGAACCACTCCTATTATTACTATAAAGAAGTAAATTCTAATATCGGGTGTGGATATAATTTCAAAAACTATGGGGTCATGCCCCTTGAAATTGTCGATAAAGGGGGTGTTCATATAACATGCCATTAAAAAATTGTTTAATGTTCAAATCATAGGTGCTTCCCTGCACCAATGAGAACCCCAAGTTCTGAGGTGGCCGGATAAGAACCATAAGCAACTGACCTAAATTTTTTCCCAATGCTTATCTATTCCTACCAACACGTGTCGCATAGATAACTGGGGATGACATAACCTACGAAAATGATTCCACAAAAAATAATGTATTTTTATTCTTATTCCTTGGATGAGAATGTATCTGGTCGTCTCCGTAACTCTTTTTCTCGATTTCACTTAACGGTGGATTATTTATTTTTTATTTTGGGATGTTTGAGTTAATTTATATACATTTTGACTAATTCTCTCTCTATTTCAGTTAAAAGGAAGTAATCTATATTAGGATTAGAATATATTCATGAAAAATAAATTACTCATAATCTGATTTTAAGGGGTTATTCAGATTCAAACTTAGGACGTCTAAATTCACAACTCGTCTTTATTATCACTTGAAATATCCCATGAAATTAATCATCTACCATTAATACACACGAAACCCGCCATTTTATTCATGGGTCCGTCACCGATACATTGTCGATTATTTACATTCGTTAAAATTGGGGAAAAATATAATAAAAAAGATTCAAACCCTTCGAGAGGTGTTACTCGAGTAGGAAAATGTAATATACTCTCTTTACGCCATTGGCTGACTTGTTCACATTGGATTAATTGTTCTTCACACTAAAGCATACACAAATATACTTTGAATAGAAGAAAAATGGTGTGTCTTTGTAAGCCATAATGTCATACTTTTTGAGTACTCTATTCATTCAAAAATGTGTATATATTATATGTTATTAGCTTTTACATTTGAGAAAATCAAAAGAGTAAAGACAAAGTTATTCCAATCAGAAGTGTTTCAAAGGAAATATTTCAATTCAAATAACTATGTTTAATTAAGTCTTAATTATATAATTAACGCAAAAAAGTCTTAATTTTGACTAAATTAAAATAAATATAATTGAAACCTCAGTAGAAAAAAAAAGGAGAGAAAAACGAATGCCCTTACTTAAATGCTTTCTTGCTTTCCTTTTGCAGGGAAATTCAAAATTCAACTCACTTCCTTAATAACAAAGGAATACAAGTTTACAGCTACTCAAAAAATTAAAAACTAATTAAAAAGTCGGTCTTTTTGAAATAGATTTACGACTAATAACTATTCGTTGTTCATATTAAAGGACTTATTTATAGAATACAATCTTATTTCTTTGTTTTTTAAAGTTAGAACCTTCTTGTTGAATCATCATATGCAGTTTTTCAGTTTGATCCATTTGATGCAATCCCTTAAAACTTATAGTTACATCTTCTCCTTATCTGTTTTTGTGGGTTGGCATTTAATTCTCACATGAAAACAAAAAAACATCAAACTCGAATAGTTTCAATAGACCCACAACTTTGGCATAAAGGATTGAGTTGACTGATAAATTGGGTTCATTCAAGACTCTTGAAAAGAAGTTTGTTAAAGCTGCACATAGAAGAAAGATATAGAAAGCATATTCCCATAACATATCTGGATGTTTGTCAATATCAGCAAGCAAGTGCTAAGCACATACCCAATCCTGCAAGTTGGCTCTTTTGCAATGCTCATACTAGGTATGCCAAGTCAAAAACACCAATCCAATCTGATGTAATCCTAGGAAGAAGACAAAAACCCTCCTAAATAAAAGGGCTAGCCCTCTCCTTTCAAACATTTCAAACACCCTCCTTCTCTTCTCTTCTTCTATACAATCACCCTATACACCCACCCCCACCCCCACCCCCACCCCATAAGGGAAAAATCCCTTTTTTGCTAAGAAAGCATTGCAAACAGCTCATTTTTGGGTCACCTTGCTTTGTGTTCATCAAAATTCTTTGATAATACCCACAATGGTAGGAAAAAACAGCTCTAATCTTCCTCCTGGTTTTAGGTTCCATCCAACTGATGAGGAATTAATCATGTGTTATCTTCGAAACCAGGCAACATCGAGGCCTTGCCCCGTGTCAATAATCCCAGAAGTCGATATTTACAAATTTGATCCTTGGCAATTACCCGGTTAGTATGCTTCATAAGGTGTTTTTTATTTCCCGAAAACTTTCATTCCTCGAGCCATGCTTTGATTAATTGTATTAATGTTCATCATGTACTTTGTGAAATATGTAGAGAAAGCGGAATTTGGAGAAAATGAATGGTACTTCTTTACCCCTCGAGATAGGAAGTACCCGAATGGGGTGAGACCGAATAGAGCAGCTGTTTCGGGTTATTGGAAAGCCACGGGTACAGATAAGTCAATTTACAGTGGATCCAAATATGTAGGTGTGAAGAAAGCTCTCGTTTTTTACACTGGTAGACCACCAAAAGGTATCAAGACTGATTGGATTATGCATGAATATAGATTAAACGAACCAAGATCACAACCCAACAAGCAAAATGGATCCATGAGGGTACGCGATGATCGATAATTTACAACAAATTTCAAACAATTTGATTAGATTGAATCGTAAAAATTGACCATGACTCGTGTTTATATATGTTTCAGTTGGATGATTGGGTCCTATGTAGGATCTACAAGAAGAAGAATACGACAAGAAGTGTAGAGCAGAAAGAGCAGGAGGATTGGGGTGCTCAAACATTGACTGCTGATGATGCTAGTGGTTCACAAACATTCAAATTTCCTAGACCTTGTTCAATCAATAATCTATGGGAATTGGATTGTTTGGGTTCAATCTCACAACTTTTAAATGACAATGCATACAATTCAAGCTTTGATGGAAATTTCAACCGGCCGATGGAGAAGCTTGAGCTTGGAGAAATGTCATACCAATATCCAGACTCTGTCAAGTTGCAAATGAATCAGAGTAGCAGTTTAAACCAGCAAAATTTTTTGAACCCAGTGTTTGAATTTCAGTAAACTATTGCATTTGGGTGAAGATTGTGCTGATTAGGGGAAAAACACCAACTGTTCTATAATTGTAAAATTTGTGATTAAATGAAAAGTTCATGCATGCCTTTCCAATATAACTAGCATATCAGCAATCTTGAGTTCAAATATATTTTGTTTTATCCATGTGGTAATCTCATTCAATTTCATTTATCGGTATAAAATTCATTCCAAAAGATTTTTTTGTTTAAAAACTTCTTCTCTGCACGACCCCTAATCTTAAACAACTCGACCATCACATTCTTTAATGTCTGACAACATCACTTTTACTTTAAATTACCTAATTAAAGAAGGACTTTTCGCACTGTGCACCCTAAAAGATTTTAAATTTCTCACATTGTACCCTCAAAGATTAAATTTTTCACATTGTACCCTCAATGTATCAAAAATTTTGTAATGATACCATTTTGTTAGCTTTTGTTATTTTTTTTTATTAAAAACCAACCTATTAACACTGACAAAAAACTAACGGAAAGTTAACAGAAATGTCACATTGTCATGTCAAAAATTTAATCTTTGAATGTACAAAGTAAAAAATTTTAAAAATTTTAAGGTGCAAAGTGCAATTCATCCATTAAAGAAAAATAAAATAATTTTTATTTAAAATATAAATATTTTACAAAATTAATGGTCGGGGTGTTTTTAGATACGAAATTATTGCTAATGTTTGACTTGTTTTGTCGGCATTAATGAGAAGTATGGTAGAAATCAATAGCTGTTTCAGCCTTGTACATTAAACAAACCCAAATCATTTGACTCTTTTATATTTAATCTCACGTGCAGTTTTGTTGATGGCGATAAGTTTGTATCACTTTGTGGAAATAATGTTAAAATTAAGTGATAAGTCAGATACCTAGTTCATTATTTGTAGCAGCCCCAATCGACAAGGACCACTATAATGGAATGACCTTATTGACATTTATTTTTTCAGGGTCACTTTGAGGAATTACTTCCACCGGTTTTTATGTAAGAATACTATCAAGATGATTTGTAATACGAAATTAGTGGGTTAAGGTTTAACTCACGTGAGTTTGGGCGATAAATAGGTGGACTAATTAGATCAGTCAAATAAATGAGTTGACACTAACTTAAGTTAGATACTATACGAACCTATTATAAAAAGTTTATATACGATAAAAGGTTTTCAAGGTTGTTGAGAGGGATTACTTCCACCGCTGCTTATGTAAGAATACTACCAAGATGGTCTGCCAACATGGAATTAGTGAGTTAAGGTTTAACTCAAGTAACTTTGAGCGATAAATAGATAAACTTATTAGACCCAAAAAATAAATGGGTTGACACAAACTTAAGTTAAATACTACATGAACCCACTATAAAATGTTTATATACGATATGAATCTTGTATATATCTATATCTATACTACTTATAAATGTCAACATCTGAAAAAAAATTTTGATTTCTTATTTTATACATAATTATTATAATAAAATCACTTATACCCACCTATATACTTTTATCTAACTTTTGTTTTTTACATCTATTTGACTTTTAACTTATTTTGGACTCTTTTATAAGGATTTTAAATTGTTTTAAACTCATTTATTAATAGTACAGTTTCTTATAATTATCTATATTTATATGAAGGCGTAAACTCATATATATCTTAAATTATTATACACATATAGTTACTAGATTGAATTTCATAGACCCAATATATATTATATTATATTTTATTTTTTGGTATGTAATAATATAATAATATTATAAACTATAAGTGCAAATGTCTAAAAGTGTCCAAAAGATATGTAAATAAATAACAAATTTGGTATTTAAAAACTTATAGAATAAATTAATAATTAAATTTAGCAATAATTACAGTATGAATTAATTATTTGACACATAATTTATTATTTAATTTAATTACACATATAATTCATATTTTTTATAAAAATAATATTATTTAAATATATTTATGTGCACCACACGACATTTATTGTTAGTAATTATAAATAAGTTCATTATGACCCCAAACATTTTAATACGTAACGAAGTCACCACGACGCGAATTCAAATTCTCTTCATTACACTTTTTTCTTCAAGGCACATCATCCACCATTAACTAGTGAGAGACCTATTTGTATATAATGAGTTCCACTTAAGTGCACGGTGGATGATATGCCCGGAAAAAACTGTACCAGAGAATATCTCACTCCATGTGACACGTGGTCCATTACCAGCCCTATTAGCAGAGTTGAGTAGGTCAATTTTAGTTTTTTAGGATTTTGCTGTGATTGAAAATATGTAAAGTTGCTTACCAAACCAAAATAGAAAATATGCAAAGTTTGTTCAATGAGATGTATACAGCTGGCATATATAAAAGTAGGATGGTCACCAGACCTTGTGGTTTAGTATGTGCCAAGGAGTTTGGTGCATGCATGGGCTAGGAAAGCATGGGGGTTGAAAGAGACATTTTTTGACATTTTGTGGGATTTTTAGCTAATCTATCACCATAATTGCACCAAAGAAGCAAGTTCTTTGGTGGATAAGTTTGAAGTGCCGTCTGACTATTGGACTGACTGACTGACTTCTAGAGTTTCCTTGTCCTTTATATAGTCATTATTATTGTTCTTGTTTTACTATATTAGCATAATTAGTATAGAGTAACCCAATCCACCACATTCTTATAGAATATCGATATTTATAATTTTTTTAGGTTAGGTTACACTTTTTTTGAAGTTGAAGTTATATCTGAAAAATCCGAAAGATATAAGTTAAAAAAATGTAATTTAACCTAAAAAATTAATAACTTTCGATGCGTTATTAAAATTTGAATTTGAAAAAGACAAAAAAAAAGATTACCAGTGAAGTTTGTGCATAGCCACCCATGTGATTATAGAGGTTATCCCAAATTATCTTTCATTTGATACTTATTTCAGTGATTTCTAACTTATTTCCTAATCTATTATTGTTTACTTAAAAACGCGGGTTTAACCCGTACTTTTCAATGTTAAAATCTATCTACCAACTATGCTTCAAAGTTTTATATTAAATGGAGATAGAAATAACTATAATTTCAAAAAACAAGTTAAAAAATATGATAAAAATATAATAAAGTTCTCAAACTACGGTTCAAAAGGAAAGCGTATTACTTTTTCTTTCGGATTGATCAATTCACCATTCTGAACATTAGGCAGAGCTAGTACAAGAGCTTGTTGTTGGTAGTCATTTGTTATATATATATACTAGACATAATCCATAACTGAAGGAATAATAAAATATAAAATTCGAGCGTCAAAAAAATCGATCCCACTATATTAAATTTTTCTAAAATATATTAACTACAAATTAATTAAATATTAAATAATTAAATATATGATAAAAATGAGTGGTGTGATATTTTTAGAGAGAAAATATATAATTGATTAAATATGTAATAAAAATAAATGATGTGATTTGACGTTTGAGTCTGACAAATGGATGATGGGTGAGGTAAGTGATTGATGATAATTTTGAGGGAAAAAATATGACTGAGTTAAAATTCAAACACACTTCTGTTTTATTTTTATATATATATATATATATATATATATATATATATATATATATATATATATATATATATATATATATATATATATATATTCCTGAAAATGTTGATATATCTAGTAAAATTATAAAAAAGACAATAAATCCAAACTTTTGATACATATTATATACCCTAATGGATCAAGCTTGTAAAATTTTAGTCAACACATAATATCCTACTTGTGCAACACTTAGCAGCATGAAATGGACACACAACTACACATATATTCATGAATCGCATTCTCGACTCATCGGTGTCTGGATAGTGATATGGCTGACATGAGGATTAGCAGTATGAACAACACAATTCCACCAAAAGATCCGATTAACGCTCCCGAGATACGTTCGCAGAAGTCATTAAATTGTTGGCATACAGCAAACCAATTTGCTGAAGCATTCCCCTTGTGTGCTAAATACACAATGGCAGTTGCTGCAGAAGCTCCAGCAGTGAGAAGAGCCAGCATTGCCTTCACAAGTTTAGGGTTGTGAGGATTACTAAGTGCCATCAACATATAAATTTGTAATCAACTGATTAGTCTAAATCTTTAAACAAACAGAAACTTAAAGTGTCGGTTTCATTAAGAAGAAATAAACGACGTAGAGTGAAAGTGAAAAAAAGTGAAGTAAACGGAAAGAAAATAAAAAATAAATAAATTTTCTTGCGTGTATTTGATTCGAAAATTTTTAGACACGGTAATATAAGAATTTAAGTTTACAATTTCAAAAGAATGACAGATGTAAAAAAAAAATTATCCTAATTATTTTCCATTTTTCACTAATTAACCAAAGGTTTTGAAAATTTTAAATATTTTCTTTTTCTCAGCCTTTTTCGTCAATCTATATATAACCAAACTGACCCAAGATTCTGCATAAATTTCTTTTGAGCAAGGAAAATTTTGAGCCCCAACGACAAATGAACTTACGGGCAAGGCATTTTCGGGGAGTAGCCCGCTTCCCATTACTCAATAGAGTGATTCATCACACATAAGCAAGGGAACCATTGAAAGATAATTAAAACACTAGAAACAGGGACTACCCGAGCTGTGGACGGCTAGGTCGGGATAGCCGTCCTCGGGAATGCTATGGCACCTTACCGGTGAATGTTGTTGAAAACTAATAATTCGTTCTTAATAATGATAAAGCAAGAACATAAGATAAGCATCTCTTTACCGTATCGAAGAAGATCAAGATGACCCTACTAACTGTTGCTTTGCTCCTAGCAATGTGATAGATGGACAGTGGTAGAGAGAGTGCAAGATATCCACATACTACAGAATTTGCAACGACAAAGAACCTGTTTGATAGAAACACAAAGCAAAATGCTGGAGTTTGGTTCTATAATTACTCGAAAATTTGTTGAAACAAACCCCAAATGATGAAGACTACTCACGTGAAGGATGGAAGATCATTATACTCAGCCCTGAAACTTGTGAAAGGTGTGAAGAATGGGAGTGTTTCATCTGTAGTTCCCATAGCAACGGCACTGCCTAATGTCCCGAAAACTGAGATAACCCGCAGAACAAGGTCTACTATAGAGATTCCTTTGTTTAAACCTTTTGTTGGTGGGGCAGCCATGGAAGCTTCACTAGCTTCAAGTGGTCCTGCCTTCATTTTTAGTGCTGAAACTGCTTGAACAA